ATAACGACCAAACGAGATACTAATCGCGTCACGATTGTAAAGTTCACACGGGATTCATTTCATGAAAGTTGAAAGAATTAATTTCTCGAGAAAGAAATACGCTCGAACGTTCCGTGCTGCGATCGGCTGAACCGAAAGGTTAACGACGAGACGAAGCTCAAACGACAAAAGTTAATGGGAAATTACAATTCGTAGACAATTTCAAGAAACACTGAATGAAATTGAGATTGCAGATTCGCGATCGAGTCGTTTCTAGTCTAAATCTAGTCTAAATCGTTTTGATTTATTATTACGCAAAGTGTTGAGCAACTTGTAAATTTGTAAAATCTATCGTTCGTTGAATAATTGTCGCGTATCGATAGCAGAGAATATCATCTCCTTCATCCGATGTAATAATCTTGCATTACGTTCTTTACGGAAAGGGGTTAGCCCACGATCGAATGGATTACGTAATTTACGATAGAACGATTTACGCGACGATTAAGTAATATACGACGTGAGTGAGATCGAAGATCTCGACAAAGTCGCGGCTTGTCGGATTATCGACAATTTGCTTTGCGAATTGCCGATAATAACGTCATTCGCTGTTTGTTCTTCTTCGGAAAGGGAAAAAGAAAGATGCGATGACGACGATCCGATTGCTCGGCGTTGTAGTACGATGTAGTAGTAACTGGAACGGAGAGAAGCAGGAGTCTTTCCGGTCTCTCGGGGGGAAAGGGAGAAAAAAATTAATCGTTAATCGACGATCAACGATTTTTAAGTGTTTTCCCGATCGCAGTTAATAAATAAAGAACCTGATTGGGCTTGCAACTAGATGCACACCTCTCGACAGTGCGTGTCCATCAAGTTGGATTGAATTCTCGATTGAAGTCACTTTATTCAATTTCACTTACTACTCAATTTCAAAGTGTACATATATATATACAATTTCGTCGCATTGATCACGTTTGATCACAGTGTTTCAAAGTGTTTTACCGATGAAATCACAATTAAATTAAAATTACAGAAGAACAGAGTCAACAATTGATAATTGACGATTAACGCGTATGAATCGATTGATTCGGTTAGTGATAATTCGACTTTAAATAAATTTAACTTTCAATGAGTTTAAATAAAAGTTACTGATGCGAGCATCGATCGCGGGAATTCTCATCTACTTGATGAAAGTAGAAAAATTTTAATCGATCAATGCTGCCGACTGAGCACTGAACTAATTAACGAACCAACGACGCTCGAATCGCATAATCTCGGAGCGAGATTGCAAAGATTCGCTTGGCAAACATGGTGGAGCAGAAAGACACGGCGGGAGCAAAGAGGTTTGCTCGGGACATTCGTTCGTTCGAAAGGCAGCAGAGTGTACGTTGCGTTGATAAAATCTCAAGGGATTCAACGTTGATTATTCTCCTTATCGCCGGTATATATAAGCTGTTCCAACTTTCTATTGTCATACGTTAGTAGGAGGTTGGTGCATGCGGAATGTCGTCTTATCAGATGGAAACAACATTTAAGTTAACCATCCAACCACCGGTGGTGTTTCTTTCTTCGCTGTTATTGTCAATTCCTATGTTATTCTCTGTCGTTTTTTCTCAGTCGTCGCGTTTCACACACAGTTTCAATTTAATTAATTTTGTTGCAAAGTTGTCAAACACAGCGCCGAATGCCCTAGTGATAGTAGATAAGTTTCATCGTTTTATTAATTATTAATTATTTAATTATATAGCGTGTACAAGTGTATGTAAAGTAACGCATAACGCATAACAATCTGTTGTGTGTTTTCCTATTTAATCTTTGTTTTCGTTAGAGCGCGTAATCTTTCCGTATTCTCTGTGGTGGTAGCACGTTGCTTTATCGCGTCTGTTCTCTCTTCTCGAGTTCTCC